TAACTCACAACTGAATGCACCAAACAAAAAACAACAAAAGAATTCTTTTTACTGCGAAATGTACAGTATGTAAATGTACAGTATCGGAAATGGTTTGATCGATACTTTACGAGAAATCTATCAGTGCAGCCCTCTACCGAAAAAATAATGGATTTCTTTTTCCCCAAACTAATATATATTACTGCGCGTGCATAAACAAAGGCGCTATAATGTTCCGATCCTAAACTAATTAAATTAACTTTTATGAATAATGTTTAAACGAAAGAAAAACTCTTCCCTTCTTTTCAAGTTGAATTTGATTTGTTTTATTAAATCAAGTTATTTGTAAACGCTTCGATGCGCGACTGCATTAATTTTTCCCTGTGTTGATGTCGGACACAATATCTTTTCCTATTGTGCATTAGGTTAATGGGAAGTTCGACATAAATAGATGCGAGCGTCATATGTTTCGCAACGTTAAACCATAGTAAGCATTAATAACCATATATAACCATATATAACCAAATATACCAAAGCCTTGAATATATAAATTTAAGAAATATTAAATATATAGTAAATAGAGCCTTACTTATATAAGAAAACTCGTCCATGCAATAAAAATTCTTAGTTAGAATTCTCTAATCCCTGTATGCTAAAGCGTATCTCTGCACTCAAGGCATTAATAACAATCGTTCGTCGTAGCAAGCGAGCTCGCAATTGTCTACTCAACGTTTTTTCCGAATCAACGTCGAATAAGTGTACATATTCTCAGTCAGTATAACGTTACATATGTTTACGAGTATTCGCCTCTGCTCTGTAGTGGTGCGTATGATCTTCTGATTACATGGAAATTGAAATATCAAGTGTAAAAAATACAAGTTTTGGTCGTAAGCTTTCTGTTTTGAAACCATCGGAATCCAAATTTTTCTTACCGTTACGCACATGATTATATGGAGACTACTCCTTACATGTATCGGGGTTAGCCTGAGATGCAGCAGTAAGCCAAAATTTACCTATACTAGAAACAAAGGGAAGGCTCAGATATAACCTCAAATTCAAGTAAGGTGTACGAGCGTAAGGACTACCGTCTGGCTGCTGTGGGCAGACAATAACAGATGTGAATCAGAAGGAGGAATGTTACCGCAGCGTAGGTAGTGGCACATTTCATTTTTCTCGTAACGTTTTCTGAACTTGGTTCATAATATAAGGCGAGCATAGCCATTGTGGAGAACTAATCTGTAATGGTCTTCCGCGTATTATTGTCGTTTCTGTTTTAATGATCGGTGCAAATGTATCAGGTATTCTTGATAGCAGTGTTTAACAATGGTTTCTTCAGGTTGGACCACATTAATATTAGTGTTACTCCGCGTTGTGACACTCAGCTACTACTCCGTGTTGATCGTTGACCAGACCAGAACCATGGCTTTGTGACGTTTTGATATTGTATCACTAATCTAATAAAGCAGGAAAAACTATTTTTCATATTTTGCTCAACGGAACCAAACACTAGTCTTTGTACATTTCGGCTGGATAATTTGTACCGTAGAGTAAAGCTTAAACGTAGTGCTTTCGCATGAAAAAGTCGCGATTCTGCAAATGCTCATAGATGAAGAGATGTTATTTTTTAGAGAAAATAGTAACGACTTATTTTACGCACGGGTTGGCGAGTTTTCAAGACGGATGTTGGTCACCCCAATAGGACAGCTTAACTTCCAAAAGTCTCTAAGAACATTTCGCTTACGGAGAGAGAACCAAAGGAAACAGTTAATAGAATACTCAACTGCTGGGGGGCTCGGTTTTTAGAAAGTTTTCCTGATCACGCCGTTCTTTTTACGTTGACGGGTTATGGTAAGTTACTTCTATGATGGTAGTTTAATGCAAAATTTTTTTTAAAAGGTAGAGGGATGGTCTAAGAAACGTAGACTAAACACAAGACTAGAGAGCTGATTACTTTAGTCGCTTTAATAAAGTTAATTGTTTTACTGATATTACGTCATATAGTCAACTGCGTTCGAATCTTCTATGTACTTAGCAACTCATCTTAAATCAAGTAAAAATATTGTAGTTTCTCAATGCTCACTATTAAGTACCCTACATCAATTCGCTTAATATTCATATAACGGCTTTCTAGAAGAAGGCATTATATGAGGAGCGATCGCAAAATTATCCCATCCAAATCATTGTAAATGGTGTTAACCTTTGAATCAAAAAACGTTGACATACCAAGTTTCATCGGACTACGTCAAAAATTGCGATGTTTAGGTTGAGCATAAGAACACTTGGGCAGACGACAGACAAACAAACTTAGACCAATCCACAAAGTGATTGCGAATCGATTGATCTAATAAAAATAAAAAGGGTCTATTTCAAGTCCTTGGAGGTATTGTACACATACGCACAAAGTTAATACGTACTTGTCGCACTAGTGGTAGGATATATAAAGTTTAAGTGCTCTACAATATTAAATGGCATTGCGCGATTTTCTCCACTTTCGTAAAATTACGTAGAAATTTTTATATTTGGATTTGTTTCATTTTATGACCAGAGGGATTAAAAGATCCAATTTTTGCTTGTTTTTTTTTGAGAGTGGAAGTGTTTAAGCACTTTAAGTTTTATTGAAGGCGTATGCTATGACCTGCTTCTCCCGTTGTCTATCACAATCAGAGTTCAAGACTTTTCAACTTTTTTGTTCAATCAAAATCGCAGCCTGCAACGTCCCCGTACAAAAATAGGGTAGGGGTTCTATCGGTCTGATTTAACTACAACCCTATTGCAATAGAGTAAGTGTGAGTCTAAGCGGCCTGTCGTTATTCGAGAGTACATTTGGCAAGAACAGCGGCTCGCCGCTATGCGCAGAAAAAAAGCGACGGATGTGAGAAAATGATTTTGTTTTAGAGAGAAAGAGAGTCGATTGGCAAATCTTTTAACTTGCAGATCGTGAAATAAAATAAAAAAAGGAAATTTATGATTTGAGGTAGAAATAATAATTTTTTTTCAAATCGTTATAAACTAATTGTAAAATAAAAGAATATTTTTTTTGTAAATTAATAAATAGCTGGAGGAATGGGTAACCGTGGAAAAATTTGATAACAAAAAAGAAATCTTAACTGCTTTGTGTAATACTGTCTGTGCGTTAATATACAAAATATTAATTTCCAATAGCGAATACAATAACAGAAATAACAAATATTTGAAATTTTGTTTTTATTGCAAGTAATTAAAATAAATAAGCAGAAAGTATGTAAAACATTTGAAGAATTGTATTAGGTAATATATTTTTACCTATATATTTAAATATATGTAAAAGTGAAAGTAAAATTTACTTAAAATATAATTTGAAATTCTCTTAACTTCTGCCATCAAAATTTGTTAATCTAAAAGCCGGCAAGTACAGTGCAAACAAACATAATAATATATTCAAAAAAATTTGTTGAAAGAAATAAAAAAGCGAAAGTTTCTCTTGATAGCATAGGCAACAAAAAAAAGCTATTCTCTTTTGTTAACCAACTATAAAGACGAAAATATAAAAAAACGCTTGCATACTTTATGGGAGTTGTATTGAAACCACCAAGATTATATATTATATTTCAAGCACTTGTATGAATATATGGAAAGAATTATCATTTTATTTTTGAAAATAGGGTAAAATCGAATGCCACGCCTATAAAAATTGTATAAAACTATTGAGGAGACGTACAAGGGGAGATGAATGCATATTTTTTATACATTTATATAAAAAAGATTATATATTATATTTCAAGCACTTGTATGAATATATGGAAAGAATTAACATAAGTAAGGTTTTATATCTAGATGAAAGGAAAGCCAGTTTAATTAATGGTGAAATGCTCTTCACACACATAAATTACCGATGTGAAGTAACATATTTTCCTTAAAACTGTAAGGTTTCAATTCGGCAAATACAATATTAATTGTGCATAGCAACTATAAGAGTAGTAGCTCTTCTTACCTTTCTTACAAATATTACACGTAAGCCGTTTATCTTTGCCAATATGGACGACACGTCGATATTTCTGTAAAGTATCTTTTGTTTTATAAAATTTATTGCAAAATTCACATGCCAATTTTTGCTCTTCATTAGTTCCATCATTAGCATCTATTGGCTTCATGTCAATGATTTTTTTATTCGTCTTATTCGCAATTCTTAATTGGGATTGAAAATTTCGTTAAATCCATTTACGCGAGCTTTATTAGCAAATCAACGTTCTTATCCTTTTTATCATCGATGCAATGGCTGTCATTACTCAACAGAAGTAGAAATTTGTTCTGTTTTTTCAAGAAATCAAAGAATTAAAACATAAACTGGTATAGGAGCGAAGCGATTGAATTATTTTATTTATATACATTTGCCTCATAAATGTGCATAAGGGGCAAGTTTATATATGCATATAAGGTTTGGTACGGCCTTGGAATGCCCTTGAGTGACACTGTTCGCGACAAATTAAAAGAATTGACACAAAAATCACACAAAAATAACTTTGGTATTAATATTTGGCAGGCAGCAGGTAGCTGCGTTAGCATTTGATAAGCAAACTTAGAAGATATAAATATAAATAAATAAAAAAAAATTAATACTACGAATAAATTGATTATGGGGAAAGTATATTTCAATAATTCATGGGGAATGTGATTAAACTGATAATGTCTCCGGTCCAAAAATATCGCTGTGAATAATAGTAAATGCATACATCCGTTATCAAAAAATAAGTTGAGGTGAATAAAAAGAAACCACCGAAAAAATTCTAGGTGAGAGTTCAGCTTTAGTCAAATTAGATAACCTAAGTAGGCCTGCTGTGCTGCAACCGGCTGGGTAGATATCAGCCTACAATCCGTTCAGTGACGCTACTATTTCATCGAAATCAACGCTTGTTCAACAACCACAACCTTTCGGGTCATCCATAAGTCAACGAAGGCAACAATCCTTTGCTGTGAACAGGAACCAGAATCCGTGGGCACCTATCGTCAATTCAAATATCGAAACAACACAAAATCATAACAACATGCCGTCGGTAAGGAAGCAGACAGTGGCATCGAATTCATCCTTGTCATCAATGTATGTATAAATGGTAAGCTAAATTTAAAGACTTAGCTTTGGATATCCATTGTAACTTTTTAAGAAATTTTCATTCACAAGCCGAGTATAAATAAATGTATAAATAAAATAATTCCTAATAGAATACTTTCGCAGTTTTTTTTTTTTTTCAAAGCTATAATCGATGTTTAATCATCGAAGGCACAGAATTAAGCGAATGAAGAGTATAAGCAAAAGTCTAGGCAATAATGAAAAGAAATATTTAGTGAAGAAATCATATAAGACGACAAAAAGGATAAAAATTAAAATTAAAGGTGCTTGGATAAAAGTAAGCGTATATGTTTGTTTACAATCCTTAATAATTGAGAAGGTGTGCCAAAAGTAAACGCAGTGCGCAAAAATACTTGGATTTTATTAAAAATAAGTTTTGTAACGATTTAGGTCTAGGTTCGGAACGTTTTGGCGTAAAATATATTTTCTTCTATTCTCCTCTCCTTGTTCAACTATCAAAAGCATAACTGTTGCAGTCTAACGGCGCGCATATTTGCAAGAAAATACGAGCATTTTTTTGTTTGAAATTATTTAATTAAATTAGTTTCAAAATTGATTCTTCAAATCAAGAAAATGCATTGGTCGCATCAAGCGATCAATCAAAGTCGCAAGAAGAGGAGACAAAACAGGAAGAAGAAAAAACAGATCAATCAAGTTCGCCTGCAGACTCGCAAGAATTAGATATATCCAGTGATTTGTCTAATCCCTTAGGAGCCCCCTATGCCAAAGATTATCGTATTACGGATAAGAATCCGAAAATAATTGATCAAAATTTCGCAGCTTTCGAAAGCGCTCTAACAAAAGTCTGCATCTATGACCTAGATAACCTATCCAATAAGGATGCATTGCCATCTACAAGCAAAGCTGGCGCTGAAGAGGCACCGTTG